ATGGCCACAAGCTAGCAGAGAGCAGATTTAGATTGGACATTAGGAAGAACTTCTTCACAGTTCGAGTGGCCAAGGTCTGGAACGGGCTCCCAAGGGAGGTGGTGCTCTCCCCTACCCTGGGGTTCTTCAAGAGGAGGTTAGATAAGCATCTGGCTGGGGTCGTCTGAACCAAGCCCTCTTTCCTGCCTACGCAGGGGGTCGGACTCGATGATCTATTGAGGTCCTTTCCGGCCCTAACATCTATGAATCTATGAATCTATGAAACGCCCACCCTTCCTGGACTCCCATCTCTCCAAGGCTTTTACCAGTCAATCCTTCCCTAACTAATCTCCTGTGCTTGTTGGAAGTTGGCCTTCCTGAAGTCTAGCACTTCTGCCCTGCTAGTTATCTTCCCCACCTTTCTCCAGATAGTAAACCCTATCAATAGGTGGTCACTATCCCCTAGGTTACCTTGCACCTGCAGATCCCCCACCAAGTCATCCCCTGCGGCCAGTACTGCCACTAACTTGCATGTAGGTGCCTTGCTTCTGCTTAAGTCCCACTTTATGCACTTTTATTGGGCTCTAGCCCACGATCCCTGCCCCAAGGTTTTTGCAGTCACAGTAATACTGACCTATGCACAGACCTAATAGAGGTTGTTAAGTGCTTGGTGATTCAGAAATGCACAGTATTAATTGAAATAGCAATTATGGTAACATTTGGCTGTTACAGCACTGCATGAAAGTTGGATGCAAGCCTCCCTCATTGACTTTGCACAGATAAAAATGATGGTTACAACTTCTTCCTTCATAATTGGCACTGGATGAAGGACACTGGAGTAACAACTTTATCTTCTTTGCTGACTCACAGTGCTTAAAAATAAATAGCAAGAATGAGAACTTACCAGTGATCATGTTGGAGATGGTGAGTCCTGGATATGTGATTTTCAAATACTCACTAGGTGGCATAGAGGGAAATCCCTTCTCTCACTTACCAAGTGGTGTTTAACTGATAATGGACTCTGACTTAATGGGATAATATTAGATTTGGATGTACAGTATATGTTGTTTAATATAGTAAGGCTTTTTTTCTGGGCTGTGTTTTTCTAACGTGCATACAGAATATCCATTTTTCTTTAGAGAGCTTGTGGGGATAATGGAAGATTTCCAAATTAGCATGCTCTGGTAGGCTGCAGAATGACCTAGTTCTTTATGTGTGATTTACTCTGGAAAATCCAAAGTTGCATCCAGTTTAAGTATAAAACAGCTCTTCAAAGCCTTCTTTTATTGAAAGGCAGGATAGAGAGCATTCAAAGCCCTTATCCCCAAAGGGAATACACCAAGATCCAGCAGATTCAAAGAATCCAGTAATCCTGGTCCCTCTCCTTAGTTATTAAAGGCCATATATTGGAAAACTTATATAAAATGTGAGGTAGAAATAACTTTTGGAAATGTATTACAGTTCCAAAATGCTGATCCTTACAGGTCATAGTCCTTGGCCTTGCCCTGGAGTACAATATTGTCTTTCACACATCTGTCTACAGAAAAATCTGGCTCGTTTCTAGCAGAGGACTATAGTATACCTTGCTCTATGAGATTACTTAGCAATAAGGATGTTTCCCCACTGCTAGGTACTTCTTCTTTTGGTTCCTCTTATTCAAACTGTTTCCCCATCACTACCTACAACTGAAGCTTGAAGCGTTGGCATCATATTGGGGCGACGAACTCCAAGCTGCAGTTATGCATACTGAACACAGGTTTATGGCTGCAGTATAATATATAGTATATGGGAGCAGAGAAGTTGAGCTGTGAAGGCATTTATTACAATGCATCAAAGCATGACTAAATGAAGTTAAGGCTATCTGCAAAATATGTGTGTCATCCTAAGGTTACTGTGTAATAGCTTCTGAAGTGAAGCCTACATTAGACAAGGCACTAACAAGAAATGAAGCAGGGAAAAATGCCTTGTGACAATGGTATGGTTCTCTTCTATGCATCTCCTTGCAGTCTGAGATGGTGCATACAGTGCACATTTGCTTGGTCTTTGTTTTCCATTTGGACCCATTCAGGATTTTACACAGCAGTCCATGTCCTCTAAGGATCTTGTTCTTTTATAAAGTTCATCAAAGAAACCAGGAAGGCCTTCACCCAGGCATCTCAGCAGAGAAACATCCCCCAACAAAGTTTAAGTCCTACTTGGACCCTTGGATCTGCTCCATGCCTTTCATCCAGTTTCAGGGATGTATTTGGTAGCCGTGTTGGTCTGAGACAAAAAGAAATGCAAAACTCTAAAGCTCTTGGTTCAGAGATGATACCTTTTATTAGAGCAACTAAGAAATAGCAAAATATATCTATATATTTCTATATATATATCTTTCTTTGCAAGCTTTTGGGCACATGCACTCTTTTAGCCAGTTTTGGAAACTTCATTGCTAAACAAGAAAGAAAAATATCTACTGCCATCTGACAGCACCAGGGGAAAAAACTGCCTTATCTGCGCATCAAAGAGCAACTCACACAAAGGAACTCTCATGGACCCAGCGATACAGACATCTGCTTTCAGCTTCCTCTGTGCAAAATGAAGTTTCTTTTCTACCTAAGGGGACTTTTGCCATCTTTAATTTTCCCTTAGCCTGAAGAAGGGCCCGTGTGCCTGAAAGCTCGCAAAGAGAAGTAATTTTTTTTTGCCATTTCTTAGTTAGCTGAATAGAAGGTATCATCTCTGAACCACGAGTTTTGGAGTTTTGCATTTCTTTTCATCCACCAGGCAGTCACCTTGATTGCTTCCCTGATTCAGAGCCTTTTCTCTACTGTAGCTTCTCCCCAAGGAGCACACAGGTCCTCCTGGGGTTTCCCAGTCTCTCGTTAGCAGCCTTGCTCAGCCACAGCACAAGTGGCACATACAAATTAATGCAAGTCATTCTTCTGCTCTGTTCAGCACTGGCGAGGCTTCACCTGGAGCACTGTGTCCAGTTTTGGGCCCTGTACTTCAAGGAAGATGTGGACAGTTTAGAAAGAGTCTAGTGGAGAGCAACAAAAATGATTAGAGATCTGGGAAGCATGACTTGTGAGGAAAGGCTGAAAGAGTTCGGGCTATTTAGTTCAGAGAAGAGAAGACTGAAGGGAGATTTGATAACAATCTTCAAAAGCTGAAGGGTGCTTACAGAGAGGATAGAGATGGGTTTGTCTCTGTGGTTGTAGGGGATAGGACAAGGAGCAATGGCCTTAAGGTGCAGCAGGGGAAATTTAGGTTGGAGTTTAGGAGCAACTATGAAGGTGGACATTATCACAACTGACGGTTTCATTCAACTTCAGGGTCTGCCTTTAATGAAAAGCGGTAACCTTCCAGTTCTCGGGTTCAAGGTACGGGGCTGGGACCCTGTGTGATGCCCTCTTTCCTGATCACTGATAGTTTTGTACAACACTTAGGCAAGTCACTTCACCCTCTGTCTCCTGCTTCCTTTCCTGCTCTAAGTCTGCTGTGCCGACTTAAACTGTAGGGGCTGTTTAGGGCACTGGTTTTCAACCTGTGGTCTGTGGACCCCAGGGGGTCTACAGACTATGTCTAAGGGGTCTGTGAAAGATGACTATGATCAATCAAAAGTATGTGAATACCCACACTTACAATTCAAAGGAGTCCACACCTCCACTCAACATTTCCAAAGGGGTTTGCATCTCCATTCAAAATTTCTAAGGAGTCTGCAAATGAAAAAAAGGTTGAAAACCACTGGAATAGGGAATATTTTTTTACAGAGCCTAGATCAGTGGATTTCCAGTAGTGGTTGAGGACTTCTGGGCAATGGAGTAATGGAATTTGTAAGAACTGCTGGGATTATGTTTTGGACTGAGGGGATCCTTATGGCTCATCCAGCTCTTCCTGCTCCGTGACTGTCTCATGTCTGCCTAAGGAAGTGTTACCAGTAGTGATGAATGCATTTAATAAAAGCAAACTCTGACTTCCTCATATCTTTTTTTCTTTTTCCTTAGGGTGAAGCAAACTGAATTGTTCGACAGGTGGAAGAGCTTGCAGATATGCAAATGGGAGATGAATGTAACAGCAGCTAACCTATTCAAGTAAGAAGGGTTGCTGCCCAATGGTAACTGATGGGGCTGTCTTTGACCACAGCTGGTTGCAATCAGATGAAATGATCACATTGATAGCTATTAAGGAGCAAGTAAGACATCAGGACCCTGTTACTCTTTACCATTTATTATGGTCTGGGGTGCTGATGCGTTGAAATTAGAATTGACTAGGGTTTATAAAAGGAAAGCTAAGTAGCAAGGGGCAGGTTGCTATTGAGGCATCTAATATAGAATCATAGAAATGAGGGTTGGAAGGGACCTCAGGACGTCACATCTAGTCCAACCCCCTGCTCAAAGCAGGACCAGCCCCAACTAGATCATCCCGGCCAAAGCTTTGTCCAACTGGGTCTTAAAAACCTTCAAGAATGGAGAGTCTGCAACCTCTCTGGGTAACCTGTTCCAGTGCTTACTACCTTTCTCATGAGAAAGCTCTTTCTAATATCTAACCTAAACTTCCCTTGCTGCAACTTGAGCCCATTGCTCCTTGGTTTGTCATCTGCTGTATAAAATATAAAATATCCACTTCCCCGTGAAAGAGGGGAAATCAGTCTGTGACGGTCTCCCCCAACCTCATGCCATACATGTGTCAGGGAGTGGGGAGACAGCGTGCAAGCTGGGCCATGGAGCACTTATCCCAGGTTTCAGTGAGCCTGTGGCCAACCAGAGAAGAGAAACCTGGGGCTCTGGCTCTCAGTCCTGCCCCTCTGTCAGAAGTGCCACTCTGCTCTTTGTGACCAAATTCTCCGCGGGCATCACTGGAACCGCTGGAGGCTCACCTTGCCAGTGTGAAGGGGTGCGTCTACAGTGACGGCAGTGAGGACTTTCTTTTAGGGGAGGATTTCAGAAACCTCACCATGGAATTCTGTATTGCTGGTTCTGTATTCAGAGTCCAGGTTGCTGTATCCCATCCCTCTGTATCCTTTATTAACCCTGCTCAATTATCTTTCCCTGAGCACCTCGGCCACTTCTCTGCCCTCCAGAGACCTCTGCTACTTATTTCTCTGGTGCCTCTGTCTCATCTCATGCACCCGCCCCTTGCTGAAGTTCATATGAAATGGCCTCAGAACAAGCTGAGGACTCCAGCTGTGTAGGAGCAATGTCTGATTGGAGCCAAAACCTTGTTTCAGCTTTGTGCTAGAAACCTGTTTGGCTCAGTCCTGGGAAGACTTTCATTGTTTTAGAGCAAGTGGAACCTCTTGTGATAAAGATATGGATTTCATAGATTTCATAGATTTCATAGACATTAGGGCTGGAAGGGACCTCGGAAGATCATCGAGTCCAGCCCCCTGCCCAAAGGATGAAAAGAAGTGATTCCTCTCCTGGTTAAAAGTCACTGGGAGGGTTCATAAATCTTCCCCTATAATAGGGCTGTCCAACCTAGGCCTCATGCAGCTCATGAGGGGTTCATTTGCAGCCCCCAGTTCCCACATGGACATGTTCCTACCATTGCTGGTCTGAGCTTTTCCTCCCACCAGTTTCCATGTCCAGCACTTGCCCCAAGGGGTGGGACAGGGAGGTGCAGTGCTCTGGTGGTGAAAGATTAAGACTAGAGCAGACCTTCATAGTGGTGAAGTAGGTTGATGCTCCAGGAACACTAGTTGGAGTTGTAGGATAGAGGAGAAGGGGTCTTCCCTCACTCTCCTGGTGCAGAAATAATGAAGGAGCAGTTCTTTCTTGTATTACCCTCCTGATTCGATTCAAGCATCTCTTGTAGTTATTTGATAATTTATTCCCATTCATCTGTCACCCTCATTTATGACCTTGATTGGAACATTGTATCATTCCCTCAATTAGCCTTGTCAAATTGTAGAAGTTCAGTCTTTGCCATATGTATAGTTGATTCTACATTTGTTTATATATACTATATAAATAACATCCACAAAAAGCATACAGAATCAGTTTGTTCTTTCAGTTTATAATGTGGGCTATTTACCCTGAGAGCAAAGGTAATTCAGCTGGGAACCAGTTGGCCCTATTTGTAAATGTGTGCATTTGTCATAACCTACTCACCACCAAAATATCAGATGCATTAACTCAGAAGGAAACTTCTCCTGGAATAGAAGTGGAGATGATGACTGGATTTTGGATCCAAAGATAAAAGCAAACAAGCATTAAATGAAAGGTGCGGACCAAGAAACTGGCTTCCTTTTTACATACTACATATGTAGTATCTGCATATGATGCATCCCTGCATATTGGAATTGAACATGACCTCTGTAGTGAGTGTAGAGCGCTATCAATAGTGTCATCAGGCCTAGAGTTCAATGGAGAATATCCTCTGAAATGTTTCAGACTCTCAAAACGTTTCTTGTTCCACAGAAGGATGCAAGTAAGGATTTTCTTTTAGAAATGAGAGAGACTCCAGAAGAGCTGGGGCAGGGAGAGAGAGGGAGGGAGGCACTCCTTGGGCTTTGGGAATCCCAGGGACAAGTTCCTACACTGCCACTCTCCCACATCCCAGGTGAATGCCCTTCCTACTGCGCAGTAGAGATGGCCTCTGGTCCCACAGATGGTTGATTAATACAAAGTGGAATGATAACAGGGGAGACTGAGAAAGGCTTGGGCCATTGTCGATGTGTAGGGGGTGCACGCAGGTGCACATGCACCCCCTGCGATCGGCCGTGCACCCCCTGGAAGCACCAGCCACGAAACCAGAAATCCACCCCTCCTTGGCGATAGGCCACCGAGGGACCCCCCTCCATCAGCAATCTGGTGCCCCCCCAGACTCGGGAGGCACCAGTTGCCCATGGCTCAGGCTCACCCCAAGATAGCCAGTAGCTTATGTGCACTGACAGTGAAGCCATTTGCTGTTTTGAGAGGTTGGGGTATCTCTGTCTCTGGTTTCAACCAGATATTCCTGGACCTGAGAACATTTTTCATTGTAAAAGTGTTCATCAGACCTGGTATATTCCAGCAGGGCTTTGGTTTTGGTGCACCAGCATTTTCCTATTAAAAAAGCATATAACCAACCCCATATCTATTGTTGAAAGATTCCTTACCATTTGTAAGGAATGGGCAGTGATTTCAACGCTAATTGTAAGACCTAGTTTTCATACATAATCTCTTTTTGCTGTTTATATTACAGGTCTACTCTATCCAGATGTTGCAATGCCCCTGCATTTCTATTCACCACCCAGAAAAATACTCCCCTGGGAACGAAACTGAAATATGAAGTGGATACGAGTGGGATCTTCCATATCAATCAAGAAATCTTCAGGATGTTTCCAAAGGTGCTTTACGTGGCTGCCTACATGTGCTGGAATCGACTACACTGTCATTGCTGTATCAGATACTCCTGTATGGTAGTCAGACTTCAACCAACCAGTAGACATTTTTTGCAAGGTTTATTACAGTCTTATTACAAGTATGATTATTTTCCATAAGAGCATCTCTGATTATTTTGCTCTGTAGTATCTGCTTAAGTTGGCATGCAATGTGCCTGCTGTTTACAGCAGAACATTACTGCCCCCAGAGTTAAGTGGCTAGTGAAAACACTTCAGAAATTTGTCTATAAAAGCAGATTACTGGCCAGAACTCAATGAGGATGTATTCGTGTCCATCAAACCCAATGTTTAGCTGGCTCTGATTTTTGTTTTTATTTGAAATATCTAGAATTCAATGAATAGTTCATTTAAATAATCATTTTTTTTCCCTGTTTGAAGACTGTTGGTGAGCAGGTTACAAAACGGTCAAATGTATTTGCCATTTTAAATTATTCACAAATGTCTTCCGTCAGCAACTCTTGACCTGAAGTGTAAACAGTCTAATCTCGTGTTCAGGTCTCAGTGCATGCTATAATTCACGTGACTCTGGATTATGCAACAAAATCATGCTGTGCAGAGGCGTAGCCAGGCAGCTGCATGCCTGGGGCAGCCGTGACGCACAGAGTAGCCTGGGCTGCTGCCAAACTGATTGCGACAGCATGACTGGCTACCATTGCAGCAGCACCTGTTTTTGTGCTTCCCCAAAAAGGCAGGCCCCAGGGCTGCTGCCCTAGTCACCCTTTCAGTTACATTACTGATGCTATATGAATTTCAATCTGTGCATTTATGGAATTCATCCCTTTCCCAAAGGCCAGCAACATGACCTATGTTATGTGCTTACATGATTTCTGTTACTGCACTATCTGAATGCAGCATAATCTATAATGTGTATTAGTACAGTCCTCCACAGAGATGTAGCATATATAGCAGTACTATTAACTTTATTTTACATATGGAGGAACTGAGGCACAGAAGACCTAAGCCTGATGCCACAGAAAAAGTCTGGTGGAACAGGGAGCTGAACTCAAATTGCCCATGTTCCCAACTACTGCATTACTCTTCTCCAAGGCTGAATAGCCAAAGTCTCACTTAAATGCTGTATTTAGGGTACAGCTGAAACTTATATTGGGCATAAACCTCTGCATGAGAGGTGAATTTCACCCACTGTGGCCTCAGTTCAGGAAAGGACTTAAGCACATGAGTAATCCCATCTCTATTCCATTGAAGGACATATTTAATTTTATGCATATGTCTAGAGCTGACAGATATCAAGGGGATATATACATATGCTTGAAGTTAAGGGTGTGATTAAGTGCTTTGCTAAATCAGGGCCTAGGCTGGTTAGCTGCGTCACTCATCCAATCCGAGATCAGAAATAATAACATGCGACTTGGATGACGAACCAATGTATGTCTGACGTTTGTGGAACGTGAACATTTGAGTGGAAAGGACTGCTAGGAAAACCCTTTCCCACTGTTTGCTCAGTTCTGCAAAGGTCTGTTGTGTGAGAGCATCAAGACTCTGTCTGTGTGCTGACAGAAGTGACATATGTCATGTGATTGGCCCCCTGAAAGTGCTCTGCAGCTGTGCTGTGACACGTGCACAGGTATGGATCACTTCAGAAGCAACTGATTGCGAGACAAATTAACCCTCATCTAATGAGGGATCAGATGAAGGTGCTCTGAAGTGGAGCACCTTAGGGCGCTTGTATTCCCTAGGGTCAGTATGTCAGTGTGATTGGGGTTGGGCTGATGCAGCCCAGCTGCTCCCTGCCCCGCTCTCCCCCTTGGTGCTGTCTGCAAGAAGGGAGGGGGAGGGGAGGGAGCTGTGGAATGGGATTTGCCTGAGCTGGAGTGGGACATGATTTCTGTTACTGCACTATCTGAATGCAGCATAATCTATAATGTGTATTAGTACAGTCCTCCACAGAGATGTAGCATATATAGCAGTACTATTAACTTTATTTTACATATGGAGGAACTGAGGCACAGAAGACCTAAGCCTGATGCCACAGAAAAAGTCTGGTGGAACAGGGAGCTGAACTCAAATTGCCCATGTTCCCAACTACTGCATTACTCTTCTCCAAGGCTGAATAGCCAAAGTCTCACTTAAATGCTGTATTTAGGGTACAGCTGAAACTTATATTGGGCATAAACCTCTGCATGAGAGGTGAATTTCACCCACTGTGGCCTCAGTTCAGGAAAGGACTTAAGCACATGAGTAATCCCATCTCTATTCCATTGAAGGACATATTTAATTTTATGCATATGTCTAGAGCTGACAGATATCAAGGGGATATATACATATGCTTGAAGTTAAGGGTGTGATTAAGTGCTTTGCTAAATCAGGGCCTAGGCTGGTTAGCTGCGTCACTCATCCAATCCGAGATCAGAAATAATAACATGCGACTTGGATGACGAACCAATGTATGTCTGACGTTTGTGGAACGTGAACATTTGAGTGGAAAGGACTGCTAGGAAAACCCTTTCCCACTGTTTGCTCAGTTCTGCAAAGGTCTGTTGTGTGAGAGCATCAAGACTCTGTCTGTGTGCTGACAGAAGTGACATATGTCATGTGATTGGCCCCCTGAAAGTGCTCTGCAGCTGTGCTGTGACACGTGCACAGGTATGGATCACTTCAGAAGCAACTGATTGCGAGACAAATTAACCCTCATCTAATGAGGGATCAGATGAAGGTGCTCTGAAGTGGAGCACCTTAGGGCGCTTGTATTCCCTAGGGTCAGTATGTCAGTGTGATTGGGGTTGGGCTGATGCAGCCCAGCTGCTCCCTGCCCCGCTCTCCCCCTTGGTGCTGTCTGCAAGAAGGGAGGGGGAGGGGAGGGAGCTGTGGAATGGGATTTGCCTGAGCTGGAGTGGGGAAGAGTGGATTGAAGCCCCCCCACCCGCTCCCCCTCCAGCTCAGGTCAGGCAAACACGGGCAGGAGGTGTGGTGGGAGAGATACTAGGACAGAGAGATTGCAGGCAGGCTTCTCCCCTGGATTGGCTCCAAAGTGGAACTTGATTTTCCTCCCCACACCCCAACAGGCAGACATCTTCTGGGCCGGGGAGTAGGCGCTCTAACTCATGGTGCTTTATTTGAAGCGCCATGAGTTAGAGTGGAGACCTGTATGTCTGTCAGAGCCCATGTTTTTCGTGGATGGACACTCTTGACG